TTGAGTTTATTGCTTAAGGTCGAGTTCAATAATTTGTTCAGTAATTTGAAAAGTTTTGCCAAAACAGTGTTGTAAAACGCTAAGATTTGCTTATGCATTTTTTCATATGTTCATTATCCCTCACAACTAGCAGGCATGCTCGACTAGCAAATACCCTATGTGTGAGCATCTTCTAACTAAATTACACTTCAAGTAGAGCTTATATTTGGATTATAATTCTCTAGTTAGCTCTTCTTCTAATAAGTTTTGTTTACTGTTAGCTGCTTTAGTACAGAACACATTTGGGTATAGCCCAATGGCAGCATATTGTATTTACAGGGTATTTGAAGCAGTTTTTTTGTGGCTCTTGCCAAGTTTAGCTGTGGCTCAATTGTAGTTTAGCTAAGCAAATAACACTTGAGCACAGATGTGGCTATGTGTGTGTGGTTGTGTGTGTATGTGTGTGTGTGGTTGTGTGTGTGTGTGTGTGTGTGTGTGTGTGTGTGTGCCATCAATCATATATGGCTTGCCTTGCGTGTATCTTACAAATGCGAAACATTTCTACATAACTTTGTACATATACATACATACACTTACACACATATGCACACACATACACACATACATACACATGTGCCTGTTGTAGTTAGCTTTAGAGGCCGCAGCTGGCATATGGAAATCATGTTATGCACTTGGCAGCAGCAGCCACCTTCAATCATTCGCAGTGGCTCGCATAGCAATCTCGTTTCATTTGGCTTGGCGAGCCAACGAACCCAACGAAAACCTTTTTTGCAGTTTTCTTTATTTGAGTCAGGGGTGGGGGCGGTGCCAGGTGCTCTCTCATTTGCAGGTGTAGTCTGCTTATTACCATCAAAAGCAAACGCAAGCGAATAGAAACACAAATAGAAATGTAAAAATTGGCTAGTGTAATCAATAGCAGAGTCGAGTCGGCATTGCAAATCTATGGCCGTTCATTGGTAGCTGGAGTAGGAGCAGGTCAGGGGTCAGGGGTCAGGGGTGAGCACTTCAATACAGCTGTGCTACGATTGCTGCTTGGGTTCCATTACGATATGTAAATATGAAATATGTGGGCTGTGCTTTAATGTGTGTGTGTGTGTGTGTGTGTGTGTGTGTGTGTGTGTGTGTGTGTGCGTGTGTGTGTGTGTGTGTGTGTATGTGTGTGTGCATTGTTGTGTTTGTTTATATAATTAGGGTTATCTTTTTATATAATTTGTGCTTGCATATGTCAAACAATTGAAGTCTTCTCTGGTTGGAACTTGCGCTCTGCCCAAAGGCCTTAGAAATTTAGTTACAAAATTCGTATTTAAATTGTTAATATTTGTTTTATATCTAAGAAATGCGCAATTTATTTGAGCTTAAATTAAGGCTTCAGTTGGTTAGAGTATTGGCTATGGGCTTGACCAAAGAAGCGTGATACTATTTGCGATAACTATATTTAGGCAGCTATTGAAGTTATCGATAACAAACAGTTGTGAAGATGTTCATTAAGTTTTGCCATTTTATCATGAATCATTTGAAGCCTGAATCTTGAACTTCTGACGGCGGCTCAGGCAGTTGCCACAGTTTAAATGCTCTAAGCGCACATTGAGTGGCTTAAATATGGTTTCCAAATAGTATTAGAAATAATTTGTCTGGGCGTTTAGGTTTAATTGCAAATTCCATTGCTAGCAGCTCATATGAAATGATTATCGAATGGATTTTGGTTCTGTGTTGGCTGCGATTTGATTAGAAGAATAACTATCCCGCAGATTGGGTAACTCATTGAGTTGGCTTCAAGCAGTGTGTGTGGGGAGGGGAGGGGGGGGGAGTGACCCAGTGACGCAGATGTTATCAATCAATAATTTGCATGATTTTAATATGCATAACTAGTTGATGTGGGCAAGCTGAGAGCACTGGGACACTGGGGAGCTGACTGAGCAGCGATTGGCTAACACCTACGCTGGCGTGTGGGGGCTGTGCATGAATAAATCAAATTCGATTTGTTTTTGTTGAATGCAACAAATAAATAACAAGAAATCTAAAACGAATCACAACAACAACAACAGCGAGCTGGCTGTGCGGGCGTGTGTGTGTGGGTGTGTGTGTGTGTGTTAAGACGCACAAGATTGAGCGCAGCTGATAAAACGTATAACATTTCATGCCGGACCAACTAGAGATACGCTCTAAACCAGGCCAGGCGGCAAGGAAAGGCGATTGGGTGTTGGGGCTGGGCTGGGCTCGGTGTCGGGTGCTGTGCTGTGGCAGCAAGCAGATTGTGTTGTAAGATTTGTCACAGCATGCCACTGAGTACAGGCTGCAGAGGCAAGTGCAAACAGTAGCGGATGTGTTAATGGCGGAAACGGAAGTGTAAGCGTGTGTGTGTGTGTGTGTGCGTGGCATGCCATGCGGAAGTGTTGCAACAACAATAGCAACAGCAAACAGCAAACAGCAAACCAGCAACAACAACAACAAAATGGCAAAACGATTAATCATGCAGAGTCGAAGTCAACAAAGCGAAAATTCTGCAAACAGCTGTCAAAGCAGCATGCCACGCCCACTAAGCTAAACGCCCGCGCCACCCACATTTGTACAGGTAAAACATTTAAATAGCTGTCTGTGGTTGGGTCTATGTGTGTGTGTGTGTGTGTGTGTGTGTGGGTATACACATACTATGCCTCACACAGAGGTGCATCACAGAGGCACAGCACAAATTGCAGCGAAATGTTGTTGCTGTTGCGGCTGCGGCTGCTGCAGTTGTTGTTGCTGCTGCTGTTGCTTGCTGCTGCTGCTGTTGCTGTTGCTGCTGCTGCTGCTGCTGCTGCTGCTGGCGCTGCTCAGCGCTGTGTTTAGTGTGGTGTGTGTGTGTTGTGTTGCTCAGTGCCACAAATAGGCCCAGCGCCAGTTGCTGCTGCTGCGGCTGCTGTTCGTTGCAGTTACAGTAGCAACAGTTGTTGTGGTGTTCATGTTGTTGTTGTTGTTGTTGTTGTTGTTGTTGTAGTATGTTGTTGTCTAATACCCTGGCATGCAACATTTTGAAATATTCATCCTCACCAATTGGCCGCCAGGAGCCGCGCCTATACGGCTTCGGTATTTGCCCAGTTTCCGCATGGTTCGACAGATTCATCACGAGATCCTCCAGCATCTGGGAGCGCGTTCGCTCCTGCATGCGAGCAAACTTTGGCGCCGAATACGATGCTCGCTCGCCGTTCACAATTTTCGTCAACAGCCATTCGCTAGTCGCACAGAGAGCACAAATTTACAGCATCCTCTGGGCATATCGATTGCATCACTTACCGAAACATTGGACCCTTCTCGAACACCGACTGCTCCCACAGATAGGGCTTGTAGGCGCCCACCTCGTCGCGTGTTACCACAGATACCTCATAACGTGTCGGCTTGTGCTTAATACGTGCCGAAACACGCACCTGTATTTCACCAGAGAGAGGGAGAGATAGAGGCAGACAAAGCGTTTCATTTATCACATATAACTATAAATCAAGCCAAAAAGCTTTTGTTGCTGCGCCAGTTTTTAAAGCCAAATATTATGGGCTTGAGAGTTCTGACTATGTCATATGCTATACTACACTATACTCTATGCTATATATCAAAGAACTCCTGCTATATCTTTCATTCTGCACGCTAATTTAAGCTCATCGAAAATAGTTCTGAAAGCTCTCACAATATTGTCACAGCTTCCAATACTCTTGAGCATTATAATCATAAGCTCAGCGACATGAATTCAGCATGCTCTAAGCATGTGTAGAGCTCTTGAAATAATCAAAGTATAAGTTTGACATTTAATCTGGAATAAAGCTTAAAGCTTTGCAAAACAATGCCTTGAATGTATTTAAAATCTTAAAGCACAAAGCTTGGTAGTTATTCCTATATTTGCCAACGAGCGTTTACTATTTCACAAAGCTAAAATTTCACATTTAATTCAATTTAAAACTTAAAGCTTTGCCTGACAGCTGAAATATTTTCAAGCCTTCATCTTAATCATAATCAAATTAAAGCTTTATTTTAACCTCTTCTGAAAGTCGAAATTTTAATCCTGAACTAAGCTTTAAGCTTGTTCAAAAACAGCCTGAACTAAATACTAATTTTAATCGTAAAAATGAAGCTTTAAAGCTCTCTATATTTTTCTCTTCATATTTTTTATATTTAAAACTGTGTCTTGAACTAAGCTTTAAACTGTCCCAAAATAACCCAGAAATACATGCAAGCTTTCATCTTAAACTGAGCTTAAGACTTATCCAAACGAAGCTTTAAAGCGCTTCAGAGCTCAAGTGCCTAGCAGAAGGAGCTTTCGTCTTCACTTACCAGTATGAAGGTGTGCAGAAAATGGCTTTTGATACAGGCGGGACTGAAGCGCGTGTTGTCGGCTTCGAGAAATACGACGCAGACGATATCGTTGCCGATGTGACGTTTGCGCTGGAGCTTCTGCGGATCGTGTTTCTCATAGGGCAACAGCGTGGATACATGGAACATGATCTCAATGTTGCGCCAATTCGTGTAGACGGAGAATAGACCTGTACGGACAGAGGAATGACTGAATAAAAGAGGGCGGCAGGTCAGGCAGATACGTACCTGTCAGGTCATGCACCGTATCAAGGCCACCTTTGTATTTGTCGAAGCCGCGCAATCGCACACGATCGCCGAGCAGCGTGAGGAACTCATCAAAGAGCGCCGAATTTTCATTATTGTCCAAAATTTGCTCTTCGGTATATTGTTCCTCCTTGACAAATATGACGCCCACTTTCAGTTCGGATTTTATAAAAACCTGTAGGAGCGAACGGGCGAGATATGGAGCTAGTCTCAGTTGGCACAGTTCCTCGCACTTACCTGATCTAATTTTAGTAGCTCCTCGGGCGTATCGGGTAATTGTCCTAATGTTAAAGGTGGATTTAAATTAACTTCTTTACCTAAAGATCTAACTACCTCCTCGCGATTATATCTGTTGGGTGTTATATAATTATTATCATATGCTTGCGGGTAGTTCTCTAGTGGAGCTTTACCTATCGGCGAACACACATGAGGCCGGTATCAGTCCATGCACCGTATAGGAACCAGCGCGCACCAGTATACGAAACTGATCGCGTCCGTTGAGCGTTTCCTGTTTGATCGATAGGATAACGGGGCCGAGATCCTCATCGCTGGTAAAGTAATTCCAGTGTTCGGTGCCATAAAAGTATTTCTCATATGTCTCCTGCTCCACCGAGATTAGCTCGAAGGCGCCCTGCTGATCCCATTGCTCCTCGATGGTCGTCTTCTTGCGCGGACTGGGCGTCGCCTCCGAGTCCTCGTCGTCCTCATACAGATCACTGCATTCGCGCTCCAAATACGCATCACTGGCACTGCCGGCCCGTATATCCTCGTGCTCCGAGTCGCTCTCATCCCAGATTGTGTGCGGCGTGGGCAGCGTTATCTTCTGGCGCGAACACTCGATCCAATAGCCAGGCGTGGGCATCAAATTATGCGGATATTCTTCGCAAAATTCATCTAAAAAATATGAGATTTAACAAATTTTGAGTTTTTCTTGCAATCTAAGAGAATGAGCAGAAGTTGGGCTTAAGTTAGGAAGATTTTCATTAACCTCAGCAGCATGTGCAATAGCTAGATTTACACTTTCAACTGAATATGGAGGACATGCAAAGCTTCAATACGATTAGACGTTCAATCGCTGCAAATTGGATTACTTTAATCGAAAGGAACGCGCGGAAGACACCTTAAAGTAAATATATTCTTGAACAGGTCTATGCTAGCCTAGCTTATTCATCTGTCTGTCTACCTATTTGGATGTCTGCTGGTACATCCATTCGTCTGTGTATCCGGTCGTCCGTCTCTTTCTGGCTGCCTCTCGCTAGCTCTCTGTTTGTCTATCTGCTCTTCCGTTCTATCGTCCGTCCGCTTATCCGTCAGTCTGTCTTTCCCATCCATCCGTCCGTCCGTCCGACTGCCTTTATATCTGGAGGTCTGTCTGTCTGTCCTTCCATCCGCCCATCACTCCGTCCGTCCGACTGTCAGTCTAACCAGCCGTCCTCCCATCCATCCGCTTATTCGTCTGCGTGTGGCTGTGTGTCCTTCCCATCCATCCTTCCGTCCGTCCGTCTACTCGTCCATTCGTCCGACTGTCTCTATATCTGAATGTCTGTCTGTTTGACTGTCTGTCCATCCGTCTTCCCGGTTGTGTGTCTGTCAGTATCTGTCCTTGCCTGTCTGTCCTTCCAACGTCCGTCCGTCCGTCTATCCGCTCGTCCGTCCGTCCATCTATCTATCTCTCTATCCGTCCATCTGTTTGTCAATTCATCTATCCGCCCGTGTGTGTGCCCCAGTGTTTGCTCTGTCTGTCCTTCTATCCGCCCATCCATCTGTGCGTTCGTCCGTCCAGCTGTCTCTATGAAGGCATTGATCTCGAAATCTATAAGCTGGTTGCTTAATATATATTGCTAATTATAAGAGAGACACAACATAATGGCAATCACTTGAAATTGAGTGCAAACAATTTAAGCTTCATCTTCAACTGACTTCAAATCGCTATTGAGGCATTTCCGACCTCCATGGCTATTCCGAACTGAGCAGCTTATGCAGCTAATGCCTGCCATGTCAATTTTGTGAAATCTAACACACTTTTATACTTTAGCGCCGAGCGTACCTAATGCACACTAATTGAACATTCTTGCAATCGATGCCTGACAGAGAAATACTTGAGAAAGTCGTTCTGATCCCATGACCACCTGCTGCCGACCCAATTGTAATGGCAATTCTGTGGGAGACCCAGCACTGCAAGTTTCGCTTTACCACAGCACACAATTGCTGCAATAGACTTAACAATGATTGCAATTGCCTTTTGTTATAGTTGTTAACTGAGCTTGAGCGGCATGACGATGTCATCGCCGCCGCTGCCTTGCAGCCTCCGCCTCCGTCTCCGCCTCTTTTACCGTTGCCTACTTTATTTTCCTGCTCCAGTTACAGTTCCAATGCCAACTTCTGTCGCTGCCTGGCTCTGCTTACGTCTTTGCGCCTACCCCTGGTACTCCCCGATAATCCCTGCCACCTGCTGCTGCAACGAGCTCAGCCGCTGCTTTTGCTTCTTCTTCTTGATTCAGTCCCTGCCTCTGCTCCTGTCCCTGATCCAGCCATTGTCCCTGCTTCTGCTCTTCAGCTGCTGCAGCAGCTGCCACACACCAACCTCTTTCCCAGCCAGCCTATACACTTAAGGCGCATCCTTGGCTTGCCACAGACAGCTGAGTGAGGCGCAATTTAAAGTGCCACAGACTGTGATATCGCTGCTTGCAACTGTAAAGTTAGGCTTAATAAGCCAATAGTTTTGATAGTTGATAGACACAAAGATACCCCTGGATTTATTTATAGTTTGTAAGACATAATATATTTAATTTATAAGATGATCTCCTTTCGTTAAGTTCATATACTCGTTAAGTATACTCCATGTAAATACATTGGTAAGCTATTGTATAACGGTTTGAAAGTAACTTTTTGTTAAGCTTCTATTCGTTAAGTTCGTTTAGATTGTTGAACTATTGTATAACAATTTAAGAATCTCCTTTCGCACAGATGATATATCCCTTAGATATAACTCTATTTGAATCGATTGTTTAATTATTGTATAACAGCTTAAATTCTTTCGTTAAGTGTACGGCAAGGTGTGAATAGTGATGAAAAGCCTTTGAAAGTTCTTCTATAGGTTGTTTGATTATAGTATAACAGTTTTTAAAACTGTTATATAGTTGTTTGACTATAGTATAACAGTTTTTAAAACTGTTATACAGTTGTTTGACTATAGTATAACGGTTTTTAAAACTGTTATACAGTTGTTTGATTATAGTATAACAGTTTTTTAAAACTGTTATACAGTTTTTAAAACTGTTATATAAACTAACTATTGAACAATGTGGAAAGCAAAGACATATAAAGTACTCAAAGGAAAACTTAAGACAATTTTCATTGAGTATAGTTAAAAATGTTGGACTAGCTAATACCCTGTAATAAGTTTGATTACATGAGAACGACTCGGAAAATGTTAAAAACAACAAACAAAGAAAGAAAGTACAAAGAAGAATACTTAAGATTATAGATATTTAGAATGATTAAAAGTGCTGTATTAATAGATACCCTATAGTACAGTAGTTAAAAAGCGTGACTTAAAGATGCTCTGTAACAATATACAGACAAAGGCTAGAAGGAGTCAAAGTACTTAGAATATTTTTAACTGATAAACGTGCACATACCCTATGCTAACTTTTTTAATGAGCAGTTCAACAGCACAGCAGATACCCTATTTTGAATCAATTATTGGTGTAGAGCTAATTGCTTAGGGCTGATTACAGGGTATCTCATTGTTGCCACTCAACACAGCAATCAGCTTAGGTGTCAGCCATGAAAGATATATGCATATATATCCAAGTCTATGTGAAAGTCTTGCCAGATAATTGCTTCAAATGCACAGAGAGAGAGAGAGAGAGAAAGTTTTTGAACTTAGTTTTTGACAGAGCAGGATTTTGTGGCAAGACCCGTGTGAGTGAGTGTGGCAAGCTGTTGGCTTTGCCAGTTGAAATGGCAGACCCAAATTGCTACCATGCTAAATAATGTAGTGCAATTCAATTAAAATGCAAATACCGCAAAAGGTGGGGCTGGCCGGGCTGGCCTGGGTCGGCAGCAGCTGGAGTTGCGTCACTTGAGCCATAAATGGCGCAAAGTTTTAACCACTTGATTGAGCTGCAAATTTGATGTGGCATGCGGCCGCATGTTGGCCCCATAGAAAGAAGCTGCTGCTGCTGCTGCTGGCATGCGTGGCAAAGTTGGCAATAAAATGCTGTGTGTGGCAGCAACTATGATCTAATTAAGGTTCGCGTTTACCACAACATGTAGCAAGCGGCATGTAGCATGTAGCATGTAGCATGTCGTGTGACGTCTGCTTCTGTCTGTTGTCTGCTATCTAAAAGCAATGTGCACAGCTGCTGCCCATGTGCCTAGGGCGCGCTGGCTTGCATGCCCACACAGCACAATTATGCGCAGACAGACAGAGAGAGAGAGAGTGAGGGAGTGAGATAGAGAGCAAGAGGGCAAGACAGTCATAAAACAGCAGCAGTTGCTGTCGCCGGAAACGGAAACGTTCATGAAGCTAGGCTCGTGGCTTGCCGCTCTTGGTCGCTGCCTAATTCAAATTTGAATAACTCGCAATGTGCGCCGCTAAGTAGGCTATGAATTTTGGCCACTGCTGGCCCGGCTGCTCATGTTGTTGTTGTCCCCTTTGCGGCTGTGCTGCATACTTCTTCTTGTTAATGCTCTATGTGCCACGCACACTTTCGCAAAGAGAAAAGGTTTATTTTAAGCCAATTTAGCAGCAGAAAGATTATTTTTGCCAGCGCAACTGGCAATCAACTGATTGACTGGCAGATACCACTTAACTGGGTGAAAGTTATAGTAGTATGTAGTAGAAGAAGAAAGTAGTAGTAATAGTAGTAGTATTAGTAGTAGTAAAAGTAGTAGTAGTAATAGTAGTAGTAGTATTAGTAGTAGTAGTAATAGTAGTAGTAGTAGTAGTAGTAATAGTAGTAGTAGTATTAATAGTAGTAGTAATAGTAGTAGTAGTAGTAATAGTAGTAGTTGTAGTAATAGTAGTAGTAGTAGTATTAGTAGTAGTAAAATTAGTAGTAGTAATAGTAATAGTAGTAGTATTAGTAGTAGTAAAAGTAGTAGTAGTAATAGTAGTAGTAGTATTAGTAGTAGTAGTAATAGTAGTAGTAGTAGTAGTAATAGTAGTAGTAGTATTAATAGTAGTAGTAATAGTAGTAGTAGTAGTAATAGTAGTAGTAGTAGTATTAGTAGTAGTAAAAGTAGTAATAATAATAGTATGCGTAATAGCAATAGGAGTAGAAATACTACGAATAGAAGTAGTAGTAGCATTAGTAGTAAAAAGTAGTAGTAGTACTAGAATTAGATAAAGTGACAGTTATACTAGCAATACGAATAGAAATAGTAGTATTCAGTCACATTACAGAATATATTTAATCTTCAATAGTCCCTTAAATAGCCCTATTAGCTATAATATGATTTTACAGGGTATACAAATGCCGCATTAATTAAACACTGAATATTTGCACTGTCAAACTACAGGGTATTTAATAGTAAACATAACATGCATATTTAACTATTGCTTTTCATCATGGACTTTGGCTTTGCGCTTAACCCATTACAGGGTATATTATGAACTGCTCGATGCTCGGCTTGCTGGCTGAGTTGTGTAACCAAATCTGGTCAGATTTCAGCGTAACGCGGCACAGAGGGAAGTCCTTTACTCTGTCTCCCCTGCCACTTTTTCTTTCTCCTTACTTGATTATGCCACACAGATTTTTTGTTCTGTTTCTTTTTTTTTTTTTTATTTTTTTTATTTTTTAAGACCAGTTAAGCCACAGGCAACGGCGTTGCCGTCATGACCATTTTAGGCAAATTGGATTTACGCAGCATTCGCTGCACATACGCGTGTTACCCCCTCGCTCTCTCCCTCTCACTTGGCCTCTGATTATAGCATGCCACGCCCCATGCCCTAGTCGCCTCGCTTGGCTGTCAGAAACATAAATTTGCGTTTGATTTTCTTTTGGATTTCATTGAGCTGCCTAAGGCAGTGGCTAAGACATTGCAGCTGCAGTTTACCTTTCAAATGGAAACGTGAATAGCGAGAGAGATGGAGAGAGGGAGGGTGAGAGTGAGAGAGAGCATCTTAAAGTCGATTGCATGAATTTGGTGTTGGTTGTAATTCGATATGATCCATTTTCAATATGTGACAAGAATCAAACTCGTTGAGCTTGAGCGCAGCCGGAGGGGCAGAGGGAGCTCTTTCATCATCTATAGCCATTTCGTTTATGGCTTGAGTAGGCCGGCCTACAAATCTCTGGGCTGGCGTTTCATTTGCCATTTGTTTGGCTGTCTATCAGCATTGACACTTTTACGCCGCAATTCGGCTGGCCCAGCCCCATCCCGCACTTGTCTCGGAAGACGACAAAGCATTAAACCAATTGGCCATTACACCATGCTCCGTTGCCCCGAGTGGCGAGCTGGGCGACCGGGCGACCGGGACTGGGCTTAAGGGTCGTCTATCAATCATATGTCAGCAACAAAAAAAAGAAGCAGAAGAAGAAAATAAATAAATGTGATGGGCCGATGACGATGACAATGTTGGCCATGCCCACAGCCCAGTGAAAGTTATCGCCCACCAAAAAGTTATCGATCCCTATAATGTGTGCGGGCCAGGCTCAATTTGCATTTGACGTCAGTTGTTAATGCGTTTTGGCGGTTGCCCACGTTAAAATCACAAAATAAAAACCACAAAAAAACCACAAATTGAATCTCTAAAGTGCGTGCCCCAAGCAATGTGTGTGTGGGCGTGTGTGGGCGTATGTGGGTGCATAGCATGTTGAACAAAAACAACTTTTATGCAAAGCTTGGGAATTATATTTAGCACAGGCTCGAGTTGTTGTTGATACTCTAACCTTGAGCACAGAGAGAAGCATTCCAGAGAGTGATAAGTTCTATGTGAAATTTACTCTTGTTAACTACTTAGTAAGCTTCTCGCTTTAGCTTTAAGTGCCTGCTTATGTTTTGTTGTTTTGTTTTTATATTTAACTTATCTATTCTTTGTTTGCTTCTCCCAGCCACGAGTTGTTGTTGATGCACAGAGAGCCACAGCAGGGAGAAGAATTCAAGAAAGTGATAAGTTCTATGTGAGCTCAACTACAGTTTAGCTTTCTTAATTTTTTTAGTTAACTTATCTCTGCTTTGTTTCTACTTCCTTCTCTACTATTTGCTTACAACTTCTCTCTAGTCCCTCTTCATTTGCTATTCAAGCTTCTCACTTTTTTCTATACGACTTCAATCATTATCAATCAGTATCCCATTGCTTCAGCTAAAATTTGACTTCAATTTTTTTCGGGTGCTGTTCGATCGAACTGAGCTCATTTTCATTTCGGATCTTGTTTCGTTCGAATCGAAAGCTAAAATTTAATCATTTATAAAATAGTATATATGTATATAATATATATGTAATATAATATATATATATAGTTTAAATGGCTTGGGTAAGTTGGATGCATTGCCAGCAAGTCTAAATACACTCTTTGGTGAAGGACATTTTCAGAGTTCGAGCACATTGAAGACGTTAGGGTTTTAACACAGGATATTATAGAACGGCATCGACACACAACTGACAAGTTACTTTATATATATATACAATACACTGGATATGTTTGCTTCCGTTATGTTTTTGATGATTGACAACGCTTGACAACGGCGATGTGTTATGGCCGTTTCACCAACTAAGGCTTCAAGCTCATTGCATTCAGTGTTGGAAAACGTTGAATTCCGTTGGAAAAGTTCCTCGATTTATGGATTCGTTTAAACTGTTAAATCATATTCCAAGCAAATAAAACAAGAAATGAAAATAAACACAGATCAGAAAAAAATTGTTTCTGTGCAATGCGAACAGTGTTGGGTAACGTCTGAAGCAAGCATTTGTTGTCTATTGCTTAGGAGCTGAGTGACATATGAAGTGCGAGTCGAACAAATCCATTTCGTTGCTCCATTGTGTTGCCTAAATATTTGGCCAGGCGCTGGTACAATTTGCTCGCGTTACGTATACGCATTGGCGGCATTATGTATACGCCGCATGCGGCCGCATTGCTAACTGCAAATCAATCGGCAAATGGCCATCAATTGTTAATTTGTGTGTGAAATGTGAATTGCAATTTGGGGGCACATGAATTGTGAATTGTGGATTGTGGCAAGCTGCAAATGACAAGTGAATGGCAACAAACACACAGCACGTGACCCACGTAGCTCCAGCCCCTCGCCTCTCGACGTCCGGCTGCATATTAACAGCCTAAGCTCCAGCTATGCTAACGTACAGCCGCTTGTCAGTGTCAAATTCTTGAAATTCTATTATTTCTTTTCTTGTTTTTAATATTGGCATTGTCAAAATTCTGTCAAACTTGATTTTAATTTGGGGGCAAAAGCATTCTCTGAGCGATTTTCGGTCTTTGCAATCAATTTCGGTTTGCCTCCATTGTTTTGGGTAACGTAATTGATTTCCTAATTGAAACGGCTTCTGATCGTATTTTAGCTCAGCTATTGCCAGAAATTCAATTGAAAACTTGGCAGGAATGAAAATATTAAAAGTCCAACGAAGCTTGAAGCCTGAGGCTACACTTTAGCAAGTGGTTCAAATCGGTTCGATATGCCGCTTTGAGTCGATTCGGACTTTGGGCTGGTAATTAGCTGTGATATATATGAAGACAAATTTATGTTTATAAAACCATCTTCCCTCTCTCATTGCTGCTTGAGGTGATATAGTTTCTATAGAACTGATTAGCTGCTATGCTTGTAATGAAGTTAGACTCGGGCTCGAACCGGTTTGATTGAAAGTCTTATTTTTCTTCTCATTTGCTGGTTTCGTGCCCACATCATTTAAGTTAGCAAATTTAGCTCTCGCCCAGTTTTCGTTGCGGGTTGTTGCACAGGTGCAACGTGGTCTATTTGAACCGGTTTAAAGCAAATAGCTGTAAATCGAATCGGTTATGCATGCTAACAAATTTTCGCCGATGCGTCTCTGGGCTCTCCCATTATTGATTATGCTTCGGTTCAGAGCAGGAGCTGTGTGCTCTGTTCGAGCTTCGAACCGGTTCGATGCGCACGATGAGCATTTTGTGGTTCATAATGTGACAGTCGGGCAGGCAGTCATGCAGACATTCTCTATTTCCGGCGCCCTTCAAAGCACTTTCCGCTTGCACAACAACTGGACTGCATGTGGCATCTACTGGCTGTGGTTATGACTATGGCGGTTGTTGCTGCTGTTGCAGAGGCAGCTGCAATGACGCATTGTTGGCTGGGTTTATTTGTCCGTTTGATGGCCGCAACAACGCGACGACGCGACGCTGCTTTTATAAGCAGCTGTTGCGAAAGAAACAAAGGATGACCAACAAGGATATAAACGACAACAGCAATAGCTGCCACATTTTGTTGCCACACTAGCGCACGCTCACACGCCACATGCCACACCCGCCGACCAAGTGTGCCATGCAGCTCCATTGGCCTCAGTTGACTTGCTATAGCTCTTTGGGGAAATGGACACACAATGAACGCAATGTGCGGTGCGTGCAACACGCTGTTGCAGCTGCAGCTGTTGCAGGTGCAGCTAAGCTCACCTCGAGCTCAATTTGTTTAAGCTAATTATATTTTATGACGTAAGCCAGGTCAAACAGATAAAGCTATCTTTAGTTGCGGAGTCTTCTCAGGGCAGTGGATAATACTTGTAATATGAATAAGCTTGCTTTTCATATGGCTGTCTTAAGTGTTCCAATTCCATTTGTTTCTGCATGAAATGTGTATTCAGTTTTTGCCTTGTGACATTTTTGAGCACATTTTTCACAAACGAAACACTTGACATAAATTTGCTTGTTTCAAATGTGTGTCAATTCCATTTGTTTCTGAATAAAACATAAATTGTATTCTTGTAATTTACAATTTGCAAAATCTTTTTGCGAAATGTTATTTTAAAATTTATTATATAAAAAAAGTGTTCCAATTCCAACTGTTTCTGAATACAAAATGCCTTAATTTTCTGTTCCTGCATAGTTTTGAGAGTCCATATTCGAGTACATAAGTCGATTTTAAAATTTAAAAAAATGTTCCAATTCCATTTGTATCTTTTAATTTTAACTGAATATTTCGAAAACATTTTTGACCACTAACACTACTTATGCATTTTCTAGATTAAATAAAAACTGTTCCAATTCCATTTGTTTCTTTTTATCATTATCATTATTACCGACTACATATATGAATAGTTTGAAAACAGTTTCGATTGTATTATTCTTTTTAGGCTTCGCATTACTGTTCTAATTCCATTTGTTTCTATACTGAAGTACATTGTACAGTTGTGCAAATGCTCAGCCATTTAAAAAATCTTGAATAATTGTTATTTTGTTATTTTGATTTTTGGGTTTTATTTTGCTTTTGGTTTTCCTTTTCGGTTTCAGCATTTTTCGAGTCAACTGTATCGCATCGAGGCCATCAATTTTGTTCATTGCATGCGAATTAAGTGCCACAATCCTCGTCATTGTCATTGTCATTGCCATTGTGTCATTGTGGGAAAGGCAGGGCAGGGCATTGCAGGGAAGGGATGCGGCAGGAGATGGGCGGCGACAAGTCAAGGAACACATTTGACTTTTTTATCTTTGCTTTCTATTTGAATTTGTTGCGCATCGTTTCGCATTTCGTTTTTTGTTTTTTGTTTTTTTGTTGTTGCCTGGATGGGGGCGTGATTTTTAACGCGTTTTTTATTTATTTTGTTGTTGTTTCTGCTGTTTTTTTCGGATTGATGTTGCTCCAGCTGCTCTGGTTGGCTTCTCTCTGCTCTCGTTGGCCCTTGGCTAAATATATGTCTGCCTTTTGGTTTATTTGTTCGCGCTGATGCTCGTTGAGCCTAAATGGAGGACACTTGAGGCATCATTAACGATGTCAATGCCGACAATAAGGTCAGCAAATAAACATTATAAACATTAGCATGAAAATGCAAAGTGCCTACGGTCACGGCCTGGTCGAGTGGGCGCCTCCTCCCCCACACCCAAAAAAAGCAAAGAAAAAACCGAAGAAAGTTTACTTTCTATTTTGCTGCTGCTTATTTGCATTTGATGCTCGATTGCTAATTGTCTGTGTGAGCGGGGCTTAGCCCAAAATGGATATTGGATTGAAGTAGCAGTTGCTTTCCTCCTCCTCCGCCTCCGCATCCTATTTCTTTCACTTGCTTCAGTTTACACTGGCAACGGCATTGGCATTGGCATTGGCATTGCTAGGTTTTCCCACTCATCAGAGTTTGTACAGGCAAACAGTCACATGCTCTGGAATCTTGCGTTTCCGTCCCCTTCGAGTCCCAATGGCGCCAAACGCTGCTGGCTTGTTATCAATGTTGTATTCAGCATTACAGAGGACAAAGCAGCGAAGTCAAGTGAAACAACAATAGGCAATCCAATTGATGAGGCGCACAGAAATCAAACACCAGCGAAAATTCATCAGAAAAATAGAAATTGCAAGTTGCGAAGCACTTGAAATACCTTTTCTATTTCATTTAAATCAGTTCGAAACGTGTGGAATTGGAATTGTGTATGCAAGGAAAACACGTTATGGATAATCACAAGTAAAATCAAGACAAACAATGCGACTTCTTTTATCAACGGGGGAACATGTGAAACTGAAATTAATTTTTGTGGAACGAGTGAAAATGACATATATGTTTGTCTAAGTTCTTAAGTCTGCTATACAGCGAGAATGGATAAGGAAACTACATGAACAATGCAATAGTTTACAAGATACAATCTGGAACATGTGGAATTGGAATTTTAGTTAACAATTCAAAAGCGTTGAAGCACGAATCAATAATACGGCTTGAATTTATCTATGCAAGTGTGTCCAATTAGCAACTTGGAACATGTGGAATTGAAACTTCAGTAAACAAACTAGTAAATGGGAACTTGGATAAACGATAGCTTATGTTGTTAAATTAGCAGTCAGGAACATATGGCAGATAGACTGTTTGCTAAAATTCCAATTCCATATGTTTCAGATATGCGGTACTAGCTCATATGCGCAATCTTTATTATGTGAAACATGAGGAATTGATATTTTACCAAGCAATTTACAAGTGCTTAATAGCAAACTGGAACATGTGAAAATGGAATCTCCATATACTATTCAGAGGAACTCAAATGGCACGATAAAACATATTTCAATAAGCCATATACTACTCAAAAGAGCTCTAATAAGAGTCTGGAACATATGGAATTGAGACTTTAATGCTAAATGCACAAACTTCTCTAGATATAATGAGCAACATGTGAAATTGGGATCTCACATAGCTTAACTAACAGTGTGGAACATATGGAAATGGAACACTTAGCTAGGTAAATTGGTACATGTGCAATTGAGATGCTTTGTAGAGGTGGAACAAGTGGAATTTCAATGAGAAGCGACGAAATTGAGTACGAAGCTGAACAATTCAATATCGACGGGTTGTGTGGGGCAGGCAACGCTACAAACAAGCTGCCAGCTCTATGAACAGCTATGGGACTATTCGAATTGTACCAAAGGTAAACTGAGCTGAAATTCCGTTGTTGTCGCTGCCGAGCGATAGATGGAATACGAAATATACTTCAAAGGGAATAAATTCGTTCGGCGTTGCGCACTTGAAAACGATTTTGCATACCGATGCGACAAATAAAACGAAGTGAACGAGAATAAAACGAGAAAACGACTGAAAGAAGAGGAAGAAACCCTTGAAAAGTCGATGACAAAGTTGTGATAACCTTTTAGAAATAGGGCAGCGCAGCGAAGGCTCCGAATACAAAAGGAAAGCGTAAAGAGGCGAAACGAAAAGCGTTTTTCAATTTCCAGCTCGGCAACGTGACCGACTTTTCCACGTGCGATTCGACTGAGTTGGCTCAGGTGTGAGTAGCTC